CCATTTCACTCTGCAGTTTTTTCTTATTTCTTATTATTATTAGTTATTTCTTATTTCTGCAGGTTTGTTTTCAGACCTCGTCTCTTATTTTGAAATGCCAGGCAGAGACTCACAGGACTCACAGGACTCTGTAGACGTGTGAATATATTGTTTGTATTGTGTGTCACAGCTCGATGGACCCGGACCAGGCGGTGTTGTCCAATGGGTTCTGTTGCTATGGCAACAGTGTGGAATGCTGCTGGGGCTGGAGGCAGACGGACCAGGGACAGTGTCAACGTGACGACACAAACACACACGTTTAAGCCCTGAGAAGTTGTAGTCAGCTAGAACAGACCATACAGGTGGTTTTTCATTATGTGTACACAGCAGCATCGGGTTCAAGTGCCTTCCAGGTCATCGCTTTAGACTGAGTTCGTTCCTTCCAGGTGGACCTTGGCTCCACCTCCTTTCAGTGAGGGGTCAGCTCATCCAAATTCCTAAAACTACAGCCCGTCTGTGATGTGTTGGGTTTTCTCTCTTCAGGTTTTGACACGTGTGACTAACATTTCTGCCTCCTCTCCAACACCGTGAAGTGAGCGCCGGTTTGCTTCTGACTTGGCTGAACCACCGGCCGAGACGTGAACAGGTCTCGTTATCAGCTTGAAGCTCCCAGTGTTTCTGTACATGATGTTTCTGTTTAAAATCAAAAGTCTGTTCTACAGAGTGGATGTCAGTTACTTTGGTCAGCTTCAACTTCTATCAGAGAAAATGGTCTTGTCGTTTGTCAGTGGACGGTACCAGCACTTTTTCACATCTGCATGTTGTCAGGCAACGTTAACAGCTGTGAACATTTCCTTTAGCACAGTCAAAAATAAACCCGAGGGCTCATCTGTCTGCAGCCGCTGTTTGAACCGAAGGAAACGACCTAAAATCTAATGCTCATGTTCCAGATGTTGAGTTAGTGGGTTAAACAATGAACCATCACTGCTTTAAATGTACTTACTGGAACTTTGAACAGATGTTTCAGATGTTGGTACGGCCAGACACGTTCCTACAGTTAACTCCCTAAAATCTGTTAACAGCCTGTGTGTGTGCGTGCGTGTGTGTGCGTGCGTGCGTGCCACAGCTCTGCGTCATTTGATTTCCCGTCATTGCTCTGCCAAAAAGCGAGAGACACATTCCTGTCATGCTCGTCTGAGCTGTGAAGGCGTTTTACCTGAAGACCCCAACAACACCAACTCACTGCTGTTTCCATACGTAGACCAACACGCAGACACACAGGCGTCCTCCACCCAGCCGCACACACACTGTTAATGTCCCGACTCTAAAACAACATCTGGCTTCACACACACACACATAAATGGTCGCTGTGACGAATGGGGCTGAAGGTCAAAGGTTAACCCCACGAGCCAACAGTGGAAGCAGAGAGAGGCGTGCTCCGTGTTTAATGTTCGATTACCTGTCCCCTCCCAGATCTGAACGAGTGCGGCCTGAAGCCTCGGCCCTGCAAACATCGCTGCATGAACACAGCGGGCAGCTACAAGTGTTACTGTGTGGACGGGTACGCGCCGCAGCCGCACGGCAGCTGCAGGAGTGAGTTCACGCACGCATTTAAAATAACAGGTCCAAGCCGACAGTCAGCACCTGGCCGCTCTGTCCGACTGTAGGACGACTCTGGTCAGCCATAGTCTGCTGCTGATTGGCTGCTCGGCCCGGCGCCGTCTCCTCATTCATCATCTCTGCCTTTTCTTCTCTCGCTCCATATGGTACCAGGTACAGAATCAGATTTATTATTTGTTTACAGATGCTCAAACCTGTTACCATGCCAACTGTCAGTACGGCTGTGAGGTCATCAAGGGGGCGGTCCGATGCACCTGTCCATCGCCAGGGTTACGGCTGGGCCCAGACAGATGCACCTGTGTCGGTCGGTGTGTTTCTCTGTGCTGCATGAAGAAATGTAGACAAAGGTGTAGCTGATCCTCCACCTGTCTCTCCGCAGACGTCAACGAGTGTGTGCTGGGCGGCGGTGTGTGTCCTCGTTGCAGGAAGTGTGTGAACACGTTTGGGAGCTTCCTGTGTAAATGTCACCTGGGCTTCAAACTCGTGTACATCAACGGGCGCTACACCTGCGTCGGTGAGGCTGTGTGTGTTACCCTGACATGAAATTGTTTCAGATTTCTGATTTTTCATCTTGAACATTTGTGAAACGGTTTAATATTTATAATGTTAAACGATGTACAGAATCTTTTCAGCTTCTCAGACATTTTAAAAACATGCTCATCACGTCATTAAAGAGATGCAGAGACATTTGAGCAGCGTGCACTCTGTCTGCTGACCTCACATCATGACACAGCGTTGGCGATGTCACCGCCTCACTTTTCAAAATGCTCCGATATTGAACAAAGATTTCCAACCACAGTCTCTCTCTGCGTTACCAGATAAGGACCCTCGGCCATTCTGCTCCCTGAATCCATCTTCTCCAAAGTGCAGGTGTAAAGACGCCGGCTGTAAAGGTGACAACGCCTCCTCACAAACGTTGGACTTTTGTTTTATAAAAATGTTATGTAAAGAAGCGAAACAGCTGGAGAGATTTGCTGGAACCAAACTTACCAACTTTTTCTTGGCTGTTTTCTGTCACAGAAAATCAGTTTTGCTCCAGAGTTGTAGCTGCAAACTGAGTTTTACACCACATGTATGAGGCAGTAGCTAGGTCATAGTGGAAGTAGCCGAGCAGCTAACTAGCCCAGGTTATGGTCAGAGTGCTTTTAGATTGTCTCAACGTAGAGAAGCTCCCTGTTTGTTTTCTGACAATGACCATATTCACTCTAGGAAGAGAATACAGACACACTTCTGGAATGTAAAGAGCAACAATGGCCCAGACAAACAGTGGTAATGTTAAAAATAAAACTATAAGAACGTCTGAGGTGTTTGTGGAACCTCATTTCCCTGACTTGGTTCAGGTTTTGTGTCATGAGCTTGTGTGTCTTCTCTCAGCCGTCCCCAAAGTCACAGAGGAGCCGCAAAGGCCAAGAACTACAACTCCCATCACCACCACTGCTTCGCGTCCTCCACTCACTAGTGCTACAGCTCAGTCAGCCACTACCACAGCAGCCTCTCCACCTCCTCCTACACCTGTTGTTACTACTGCTCTTCCCACCACCATCCCAAGTACAGCTCTTACTATTGATACTACTACTGCTGAAAGTACAAGTACTGCTGCGAGTACCTCCACCCCTCTGCCTACTGCTACTGAACTGGATACTACAGCTCCCACTACTACAACTCCAGTAACAGCTGCCATTATGACTACAGTGGAAACACCAGCCGCCACGGTTCCCTTGACAACCATGATGCCCTCCACGGTCTCCTTGGTAACAACCACAGTGAAGAACAGGATCAGCAAGGATGTGATGTACAGAAGAGAGGAGACGTGCACAGTGAGAACACACACACACACGGCTGCTGCGATGAATCGATTAGTCGATTGACAGGAATGTAACTGGCAGCTCCACTGGAAGCTGATAAATAGTTTTGGGTCATTTTCTCTAAAGTGCTAAAATCTGTTTGCAGCTTCTGAAATGTGGATATTTTGTAGTTCTGTGAGTCGTTATGACAGTAAACTGAAGCATTGTGGGTTTGTTGGGCTGGGAAAACAAAAACATGAAGACCACACACAGCTTTACTGGTTAATCACTTCATCAATAAGGAAGATCGGCGTTAGTCGCAGCCTAAGACACAGAAACCTGGCCAGCGGCTCAGGAACACGGGTCGTGATGGAGGGTTATTAGTCAGTAGGTTGGTTGACAGAAACTTAATCTGCTAAAGTTTTGGTTGCAGACATTTACGGCTTCAGCTTTGCTGACGTGTCCATCTGCTGCCCGTTGTCTTTGCTGCTTAACCAATCACCTGATGAACCAAAGCAAGTGTTTTACCTTCATCGGCCGAAGCTCGGGGAACCTGTGTCACTATCATCAGACTTTTTGAGTGAATGATTAAACAGTAACTCGCTGAAATAATCGGCCGATCAATTGATATTGAAACAACTGTTGTTGCGTTCTTTATGCTGTCACTTTATGTATTTGTGTGTGTGTGTTACAGTCCCTCGATACCCCAGTAACAACCAGGTGTGGGAGTTTGATGTCGAGCTGGGGAACACGGCCAGAGATGATCCTGGTAGGTCTGACACTGTGCTCCACCAACTCTTCTTCTGTGGTTTTCAAGCAGCTTTATGGAGGTTTATTAATGCTGGTTGTCAGCAACCATGACTTGATTGGAAAGTGCACGTCACACTGAAACTAAAAAGATGTTTCGTGTTCGTTTCCAGACACTTCCAGGTACTTTCAGTCCGTAAACGTTTGAGCGCATTGTGCCTTGCATTTCCACAGCGGGGCCTGAAGGTCCTGGGAAGATGAGATGAATTAGCTTGCTGATGTAAAGGAGTGACACTGCAGTGAGGTGTTCAGAGCGCTGCATGGTAGTTGGACAGTCAGCGACGCCCTCATAGTTCTCGGTCCTTCAGACAGTACTGACCCCCAACTAGGGACTTTTTTGAGGCGTAGAACTTTGACTGAAACAACAATACTGAGACTTCATACAAGCACCATGGGCTGTGTTCAATTAACAGTCATGTAGTTTTCCAGATACTGAAGACAAACCCTTCCATACACGTTAACTTTGTGCAAAGAATGGTTATAGACTTGGGTGTAGTTCCTCCAGCACCGTACAACACATTGGGAAGCAAGTGGTCTCCAACAAGCTCGTTCATTTCATTTACCTCGTCCCATGATACGCCAATGGCCCCAAGGTCTCTGAACATGTGGCACCAGGTACGACCCAGTCACTCTTGCTTCTATTTCCCTCAGGGAGTTGTCCACATGGTGGGAGTCTTTGGGTGGCACGTTGGCGGTAGATGCATGTCTGGAGAACCGTGTTCCATTATGATGTCCTGGACAGGGCAGGTTCCAGTCCAGGGCATCAGGCTAGCTACAGAAATGAAGAAGGGTTTTAGTTAAAACGACAGACCTCCAGCACTGTAACTCCTGTGTGTGTGTTGGGGGTCGGTGCCCTCCACTGCACCTTTGATCATGGACTCTGAGACTGGATGTCAGAGAAGATCTACACTGGGAAACTGCTCTCAACCCTGCAGGTAACATGCACACACACACACACACACTGCTCACAACATATCCTATAAATTAATAGGCCACATGGCTTTCAGATCAAAAAGCCAAACAGAACGCCGCCGTACTAGTTTCTGTTCTTCCAGTGGGAGAATCTGCTGCTTTTCTTCACATTACCATAAACCAAATATCTGAATCTAATGCATCCAAATGTTCCCCCAGGTGGGAGGTACCTGTCTGTCCCAGAGCTGAAGGTAGGACAAAGGAGCATCCGTGGAGCTCGACTGGCCGTTCAGATCGTCCCACCTTGGCGCCACAGTGACCTGTGTTTCTCCTTCTCCCATTGGCTGACAGGGCATCATGTGGGCATGTTGCAGCTGTTCATCAGGAAGAAAGGACACGACCAAAGGTGCCAGAGCTTTACTCCGAGTAAACAGTCGAGTGTTTTTTTTTTTTAATCACTACTTCTGGAATCACTTGTGTGAAGTCTTACCCCTGATTGGCTGTTTTAGGTATAGCCCCGCCCTCTGGAGCAGGACAGGTGGTCATGATTGGAGACGCACACAGGTTACCTTGGCGACAAACTCTCTGGACAGGGTGAGACGCACACACGAGCAAATGTTGAGTTGGGCCTGTTTGTGTTGTTGACGACAGTGTGCATGAGAACAAGTTTGGGTCTCAGTGTGGAAGTAGGTCGCGGCCACAGCGTTCGAGGGCGTGCTGACCACGCTGCAGCTCAGCATTAGAGAGGACACAGTTCTGTGAGTGCAGAATCAGGTTGAAGAGCGAGGGAGGATCGTTGCTGCTCGCTCAGATCATCTGTTATGTTCACGATTCTGTCGTCTGTCGCTCTCAAATCTGTTTCTGCTCGTACAAATCTGGGCCTGCAGGCTCTCAGTCTGATTTGTAAACTGAAGAGCGCTCGCAACTTGTTTTTTTTTTTTTACTTTCAAAATTTTTGGCACTGACATAGTTTGACACAAAACCCAGTGGAGACATTCGAGAGCACAGACTGAAACGACAGCACACATGGCCTGGATTACGCTCTCAACTGCTGAGTGGCAAAGTGAGATGTGGTTTGTTCTCCCTCAAACATTATGGCAGTTTTAGGGTTCAGGTTAGAGCCAGGTGTGGTTTTGGGCCAGAGGTCGGGGGTGCATTATGTTACCGAGTATCCTCACAACGTCTGTGTGTCTGTGTCTGTGTGTGTGTGTGTGTGTGTGTGTGTGTGTGTGTGTGTGTGTGTGTGCGCAGATGCTGTTGAAGGCTGAGCAGAGACGAGGGTGGCGAGGACGCATCGCTGTTGATGATGTCACACTGAGATGGGGGGGTGTGCCGATGACATCATCACGGTGTGAGGACACCGACTGCTGGACTGGAAGCAAATCTTTCTGCTCAATCCGTTTTTATTTATATGGTTCATCTTTGATTCTTAAAATCCTGAGATCTCCTAGGTTTTCTAGGTAAAGGCACAGCTGGCGTCGTGTGTCGCCAAGTAAAACGTCTTCTTTGTGGAAAACAAAAAGGTTAGTTAAGTTACAAAGCAGATGACAGCTGCTCTGAGTCACGACAGGCTGTAAACGTCGTGCTGCACAGCCCGGTAGCTGAGTGTGGCTAACTCGTAGTGGACCTGGGGATCCTGTCAACGAGGGGGTCCGACTGACTCCAGAAGTGATTCAGGGTTTTGTGACGTGAAGTCAAACAGATCGGTGTGGATTTCAGCCCTTGTTGTGCATTTTAGACTGAAATTCAGTTTATCATTTACTGATAATTTAAAGGACCATGCTGCTGTTTTTTCATTTACTATACAACCTGTACACTTCATGTTTCTGTTAATAGTTTGTTCCTTTTCTCAAACTGTTTCTGAGAAGAAGAAGGAAAGTTGTGTTTGGATGTAGAGCAGTGTGTTTGTGTTGCTGTGTGACACAGCGTGAAGCTCCTGTGATCTCTGACTTGGAGCCCACCGGAGCGGGGAGCCGAGCTTCATTAATGTCTCTGCAGATGAAAGTAAAGCAGGTTACATCCAAACGCTGAACTCTGAACTCTGAACTCTGCTTTGTTTCCATATTGGATTTTCTCAGAGGCTGTATTTGAAATGCCGTAGTCTGTCTGGTGTTCGTGTTTACTACACACAGCTGGAGACTTGACTGGTAATGTCCTGTGAGCTCAACAGATTCCTCCACATGTGGACAGGGACACCTGTGATGTCCACACTGAGAGGGGAGGCCCCGTTCGTTAACCCTGAAATGGCCACAATAACTTCTCCCCTCTCTCTCCTGCAGCTTCGGTCTCTTGCTGGTGATCACAAGCAGCATGTTTTCTTTATTAGTAACTCAGAATCAGCTTTAGGAGTCGAGCTGAAGGACGAACTAGGACGACAAACTACAACTGCCAGTTGCAGTTTGACAGTTTAAATGCAGAAATTAGCATTGTGATATAAGCTCCATTTAGACTGTAAGTAAACACTGGTGAGCCATTAGTATGACAAGTTAGTGCAGACATCCCTGTCCCCAAGACTCTTTCCTGCCATCCCAAGATGTTCCCAGACCAGGTGAAATGTAGACAGGAAGTAACAAAGGTTTGTGGGCCATAAATGTCCAGGATGGAATAACACCTTCATAGGAAGAAGGGAAACAATCGTCCCTCTGCACTGAAACACAACCAGATGAGGTGTTCTTCCTGGATCAGATTTGCAGTTACTTTTATTTTGGTGGAATTAGTTTTAACTCCCAGCGCTCTCTGCTGGGAGTTGGAGTAGGACTGAATTACACAGTCACCAAACACGTGAGACAGATTTCAGTTCTAGATCTTTAATGAATTTCCAAAAATCACTTTGTCAGTATGGGTCAGTGAGTGTAAATGAATGAGCAGATATGAAAACGATATCAGTCACAAATTAAATGTACACTCTGTGTGAGTTTGACCTGATGTGCACCAGCGTTAAAAGTTTACCCCAGTAGGCGTCTAACCCACAGACATGGGTCTTCCTCCAAAAGAAGAGCTCGACCAATCATAACGCAGGATTCAGGGATAATTGCATAGCTTAGGAGACAGTAGCTAGGACCGTAAATCGACAGATGTGAAGACTGTTCTCTGAACTCTTAAAACAGGTAAAGGGGCTGATTTCAGTTACTGGAGCACCAGTTTGTTATGTGGCCTTTCTTTTGTATTAATGTGTTGATTAACTTCTTATGAAAGTTTAAATCTGACAATCAAACAGGCTGCTTGTCAGTCAGATTAGTCCTTACTGTGAAATGCAGAAGAACGCAAAGAAATGTGCAACACAGGGCCTCGACTTACGCCATAACGTCATGTTGATGTTCTTTCACATTAGATTGCATAAGAACCTTCAGTAGTGCCAGATGGGAAAAGAGGCACCTTTAGCTGAGAACAGAGACAGAATCGTAACATACGGTTGAAGTCAGAGGTTTCCATCCACCTCAGCCAGTTAAACAGTTAAACTCAGGTTTTCACAGCTCCTAACATGTAATCTCAGGTCAGTTAGTGTCAGTTTTAAGAATGTGAGACAGATCTGGGTCAGATTTAGGGAAACCTCTGTACCAGGCCAGTGGAGCTAAAGTGTTTACTGATGTTTTGTCTTGTGACGTCGGCGCCTGTTGTCTCACACAGATGGCACAGGCACCCCTCAGTGTCTGCATGGGACACAAAGCCCTGGGACGGGACTGTGCTGAAATGTACTGAGTTGCTTTCCACTGCTACTCTTCGTCTTTCGTTTGGACAGGAATGGAAACTAAAGCTCGGGGCATCTACCTCTGTCCCCCCTGGTGGCTCTTCATGTGTGTTTTCAGACAGTGGCTCTGAGTGAAGGCTTTGTCGCACAGAGTGCATTGGAAAGGTCTCTCTCCGTTGTGGGTCCTCATGTGGACTTTCAAGTGTTCCTGATGAAACCATGCCTTCCCACAGACACTGCATACAAACTGTTTGTCCCCTGAATGCAGAATCAGGTGCTTTTTGAGGTTTGATTTGGTTTTGAAGGACTGGCCACACTCTGGGCAGCTGTGTGGCCTCTCCTCAGAGTGGAGCTTCATGTGCGTCAACAAACCAACCTGCGACATGAATCCTTTGCCACATTTACTGCAAGTGTGCAGCCTCTCTCTGCAGGCTGTGTTGTGTATTTTCATGTGGGCCTTTAAAGTACTGTTTGTATGGAAGGTTTTGCAGCAAACGTCACAGAGGTATGGTTTCTCTCGGACTGTGTGGATCTTCTTGTGTCCTCTCAGATGATACAGAAGCCTGAAACGCTTCCCACAAACCTGACACCCATAACGTTTTTCACCTGAATGGGTCAGCATGTGGTGAGATAAAGCTCTAAGTCCGCTCAAAGATTTACCGCACACGCTGCAGCTGTACAGCTTCACCCCCGTGTGAACGCTGCTGTGAAGCTTCAGCTCCACCTCGCAACCAAACGATTTCTGGCAAACATGACACTTGTGTTTCCCCCCCAGGTGGAACTTCTGGTGAGCTGCCAATTTTGACTTTAGAAGAAAAGCCTTATTGCAGACATTGCATTTATATGGTTTGTGCCCCGTGTGTCCAGCTCTGTGCTCCATAAAAGCATTTATTCCGATGAAAGACTTTCCACAGGTGTTGCAGCTGTGTGTTTTCAGGTGAGTCTGAAGGTGAAGCCTCAGCTCCTCTGGAGACTCTGAGCGTTCTCCACAAACTCCACAGAGCCTTTCTGGATCGTCCGCGTGACTCCAGGCGTGTTTACTCACAGCATTTTTGGACTTGTACAGAGCTCCGCAGACTTTACAGGAAACAACACTCTGCTCAGTCAACACCTTTGTGGACGACTGGGTCCGTTTCCTTGTCACCATTGACTTCACTCGGCTCTCCTCCAGCTCTTCGTCAGCCCCGTCTGGTTTCCAGTCACCATCATCTCTGCCGTTCATCTTCTCTGCCTCCTCCTCGTCACCATTGTCCCCTTCACTGTCAGCTGTGAAACTGCAGGCTTGAACATCATCACTTGGTTCTGATATTCCGGCATCATCATCAGCTTCCTCCGTTTCCATGACTTCTTGTTGTGACATCGAGCTGTGGGACAGAACATCCACCATGTTTTCTCTTTTGTGCGGATCAGGGCTGCTGTGGAAACAGAAACATGAAGGTGTTAGGGTTTTTACTGTAAGTGCTCTTATGTTGAGTATTCTGAACATGGCAAGTGGAGAACAGCGCTGACGCCCTCAGGATTAGGAGTTTGATTCCAAACTAAAAGCCTTAAAAAAACAACTCACTCTTGGAAACATGGAACAAGCTTGTACCGGACAACATACTAGCAGGTAAAGCTTCCAAACCTCCGCTCCGAGCAGCGTGGTGTTATGAGTTACCTGGTTTCATCACTTGCCATTACTGAGGTGGAGGCGGATGGAGAGTCCGTGGTGGCGTCATCTTTCCTCTGTACAAGCTCACGCTGCCCACTGGCCTGAAGCTCCTCTCCTGCCTGAAGAGTTTAATCCCAGATTGTGTTTGTGAAAATCACATTGGGTCTGGTTTGAAGGACATTTAAACTCCAGTGCAACCAAAAAAAAGAGTGTTCACAGACTGGATCCTCTAGATTTCTGTGGGACGGAGTGTGGTACTGAATGTTTCTGAGCACGTGGTTTTTGTTGTGAGAAAAACTGTACAGAAACTGCAGGAGGTTCAACACAGAACAAACTACCTGACTTTTGACTTTTGACTTTTGACGGCGTGTTATTCTCACATTTTGATGTTTGTATTCAAAATGTGGTGACGAGCTTCTGGATTTTAGGATTTGATTTAGTTTTATGTTGAATGTCTTTTGTTTTTCAACGCCCTGGGACCACGAAGGAAGGAAGTGCTTTCACCTTCACACAATATCTGTTTGACTTTGCAGATTTTTGGATTATAAAACAAACGAGGAACTACCTTCGGTTGGATGTAGAGGGCAGAATTCCCAGCAGACCTGATGGTCCTGTAGATCTCCTCTGGTGTCAGCGTCTCTGCTTTCAGAGGCTGGAGTTTCCTGCTGTGATCAGTTGTGAAGGCGTCAAAAGGTTTGTCAGGAGCCAGCTGAGGGAAGGTGGACCTCAGCAGGACCAGGAAGTCCACCTCCTGCAGACCACAGGGACACTGCAGCTCCTGTGGTCGGTACTTCTTAAACACTGAAACAGAAAAAATGCCCCACATAACGATTAAAATAAATGTTACTTAAATTTAACGGGAGTCTCCTGGAAACAGGCTTTAGGATTAGGAGATTTACCGCTGTTTGAGAGAACGCTGATCTTGGAGTCCTCTAGCAAGCAGACCCTGAGTTTTACTGAGCACTTTGTTTTGATCTTTAATTTACTGCTGTTCTGTTCCCAGGGCTTGTCACCCTCAGCTGGCCTCCAGTCACCATCACCGCCGTCTTTCCTCTTCTCATCAGCTTCCTCTTCACTGTCAGTGGCAGAGCCTGCAGAGGAGGGAAGAAACAGTCGTCTGGCCGACCGTTTCCTCCTTGTGTTTGACGACAGTGAATCCGTTTTACTCTCCGTCAGGCCCTCATCACTGTCATCTTGTTTCCTGCCCTCATTGCTCCTAGCTTCCTCAGCAAACAAATGAGGAACTACCTTCGGTCGGATGTAGAGGGCAGAATTCCCAGCAGACCTGATGGTCCTGTAGATCTCTTCTGGTGTCAGCGTCTCTGCTTTCAGAGGCTGGAGTTTCCTGCTGTGATCAGTTGTGAAGACGTCAAATGGTTTGTCAGCAGCCAGCTGAGGGAAGGTGGACCTCAGCAGGACCAGGAAGTCCACCTCCTGCAGACCACAGGGACACTGCAGCTCCTGTGGTCGGTACTTCTTAAACACTGAAACAGAAAAAATGCCCCACATAACGATTAAAATAAATGTTACTTGCGTTGAGATCTGAATGCATTAACGATGAACTCCAGAATGACTTTAAGATGTGAGTCTACAGGAAACAATCAGGCTTTAGGATTAGGAGATGTACCGCTGTTTGAGAGAACGCTGATCTCGGAGTCCTCTAGCAAGCAGACCCTGAGTTTTACTGAGCACTTTGTTTTGATCTTTAATTTTGTTTTGTTGTTCTTCTGGGGCTTCTCACTCTCAGCTGGCCTCCAGCTGGCACCTCCGTCGTCCAACTTCTTCTCATCACCGATGCCTTCACTACCAGCTGCAGAGCTTTCAGGTGAGGGAAGAAACGGTCGCCTGGCCGACCATTGACTACAGGGAATCCGTTTTACTCTCCGTCAGGCCCTCATCACTGTCATCTTGTTTCCTGCCGTCATTGCTCCTAGCTTCCTCAGCAAACAAATGAGGAACTACCTTCGGTCGGATGTAGAGGGCAGAATTCCCAGCAGACCTGATGGTCCTGTAGATCTCTTCTGGTGTCAGCGTCTCTGCTTTCAGAGGCTGGAGTTTCCTGCTGTGATCAGTTGTGAAGACGTCAAATGGTTTGTCAGCAGCCAGCTGAGGGAAGGTAGACTTCAGCAGGTCCAGGAAGTCCACCTCCTGCAGACCACAGGGACACTGCAGCTCCTGCACCGGGTACTTCTTAAACACTGAAACAGAAAAAATGTCCTACATAGTGATTAAAATAAATGTTTGTTACATTGAGATCCAACATCATTCTGGAGTTCATCTTTAAAGTGCCCATGGCATGGTCGTACTGCTCGTTGATGAACTGGTCACTAACTGCCACGGGGGCTTCACAGGCCGGCTGCTAGTAGGTTAGACCTGGTCAGGTAAAACAGCAAGTCCCTGTACAGGAACATTCCCAGACATGCAGTAACCTCAGACCCTTTCAAGGAACCCTTCAAGGAAAATCCTTAAACTATTACATAAGACATTTTCTTAGAAAAGAAAGTCTCACGAGTAAGTTTGTGAGATGTGTATAAACCCAGTTGCTTCTGCACAGAAATACTAGAACATACACCTCATTTTTTGGTCTTTAGATCACGTCTAAAATGATAATTCACCGATGTAACATTGTAGATAAGTCAGAAAAGCGCCATGGGCTCTAACATGTGAGTCTACTGGAAACAGTCAGGCTTTTTGAGATTTACCGCTGTTTGAGAGAACGCTGATCTCGGAGTCCTCTAGCAAGCAGACCCTGAGTTTTACTGAGCACTTTGTTTTGATCTTTAATTTTGTTTTGTTGTTCTTCTGGGGCTCGTCACTCTCAGCTGGCCTCCAGCTGGCACCTCTGTCGTCCTCCCTCTTCTCATCACCGATGCCTTCACTACCAGCTGCAGAGCTTTCAGGTGAGGGAAGAAACAGTTGCCTGGCCAAGAGTTTCCTCTCCATGTTTGATGGGAGTGAATCTGTTTTACTCTCCGTCAGGCCCTCATCGCTGTCGTCGGGTTGCCTGCCCTCGTTTCTGCTCCCTGCTGCCTCGGTGGTCCTGTCAAAAGACAAAAACGCTGAAACATTGGACCCTGAGTCACCAGATTTTAGTAGGTTTGTGGTACTTCACTTGAGTATTTCCATTTTCTTCTACTCGGCTGCATTTCAAAGAGAAGTATTGCACTTTTTACTGCACTACATTTATTTAACAACTACACTTTCTTGCCAGCTTCAGATTACTCAGATATAATCAGCAAATTGTGGTGTTTTATTATAAGGTCAAGGCCCCTTTATTGTCTTCTGGGAGAAATTCCTTTTCAGAAAAGGAGAAAAAAAATACAGCATCAGCAACAACGATAACACATAATGTAGTCTCAAAACAACACATAGGGTAACTTAACCAACAATTCAGACTCAGAGTTCAGCACGTGAAAAATCCTCAACGATGATGGTTGCTTCATGAATAATGGGTTAAAATGAGACTCTATTGGCTGACTTACTGGATTACTGAGCCTCGTGGCAACTGTCAAGAGTTATAACTAGTATTCATGTCTATGGTTGGGAAGTTTGAATATTCTGGCTCTTGTTCATGAGAAAACAGAACTCGGCACTTTTTTAATACTTTAAGATCTGCAGACACCTGATGTTCATGTCGCTGTGTCTGCTGGCTGTTTTTGTCTTGTCCCCAAATGGGCAAAAAGTGTGTGGTTGGTTGTCTACATGTCTGCCCTGTGACTGACTGGCAACCTGTCCAGGGTGGACCGCGCCTCTCGCCCAGTGTCAGCTGGGATTGGC